GCAAAGAATATGTGTGTGTGTGTGTATGGGTATTTGTGTTTTGCAGGCACATGTCACATTGTGTGTGTGTGTGTGTGTGTGTGTGTCTTTGTCTGGCAGTGCTAGTTTAATAAGGTCTAGAGTCTGCTCTGTGCCGCAGGGACTCACAGCTTAGGCGATGGGCTTACCTCAGAATGAAACCAATCTGTTTAGCCTGCTCTTCTCCCCTGCAAAACGCTCCATTTTCTCTGTCCATAAAGTTAAATGACATTTTCCTCCCGGCACCCTTATGCCATGTCAAGTACCTCCAGAGATGTTGAAGGCCGACCTGGATGTCATGAGTGTGTGTGTGTTGAGTGAGAAAGAGACCTCTGAAGGCAGAAGCAAACACTGAGACATCCACATTTCCACCCCGTACTGCTTGAGGGGCCTGCTTCTATGAGAAGACAGCTGCTTTAAAAATGTCAGTGGTAAAAGCAGTCAAGCCAAGGGAATATTAGACTTGAAACATGGGTGTTTTGTTTATATATGAACCAGCAGGCCTTTTCAGACAGATGGGAAATTACAAAGAAATTAGTCATTGTGAATGGCAGTGTTTTTCCCCTCTGAATACGTTTTATATTTTGAGTAGCTATGTTTGTACTAAAGAGCACAATGAGTGATCCGATTTTTCAAAGTAAATCTTGAACAGAACTCCACCCACACGCACACCAAATGGTCTGCCATAAATGACTGATAAGATGTTCCTTCTTTGCTTGGAAGGACAGAGTAACACTTCCACTCAGTTTACCCTCTATCTCTGTCTATTTAGGAGTCTAGCTGCCTGCCAGCAGTAGCTCGGGACTGTGTCCAAACATAATCATGATATTAGCTAGATCCTTATTTATGTGTCCCTACCCCTTTCCATTTCTCCTCTCGCTCTTTCTCACTCTCTCACACACATGCACACACATCTCTCTCATCCTTCTGCTCAGCCCTATTACGTATGCATCCATCCTTCCCACTCCACACATTTCCAATCTTCCCCAGTTAGCTACAACAAACATTACATTTACATATTGATTTCGTAGTTTTAGTCAATGTAAATATGCTGTCATTACAGTAAATTTGAGCTTCTGTTAACATAAGCTCGTCCAGATCTGTGCAGATTAAGGGTGTGATTGCATAATTAATGTGTGTGCTACATATTAATTCCCCCATCCCTCTCTTTCTCTCAACTCTTCCTCCTCTCCTTGGGTTCTGAGCCCTGATTAAGTGCCTGCTTCGGCCCTTAAGCCTCCCATTGATATTCAGCCTCACAGACCCAGCGTTTGCTCAAAACGCTACTTAACCTCACAGCTTATTGTAAATGAAGCTTCCAAAAGTTGATTCCCCCACCTCCTCCTCTCTACGTGAAGCACACAGCGTCGTTCACAGCGTCTCTGTCACCGCTGTTAGCCACTGAGCGGTGCCAGCTAAGAAAGTCTGACCCTTCAGGTTGTGTCCTCACTGCCAGGTATCTGCTCACAGTGTAATCAGCACATGACATTAACTGTGAGAGCGTGAAGATCTCAGACCAGTCGTTACCTGTAAACAGCTATTTCAATAGATTGATTTATAGATCTGTAATTGTTTTCGTTATCTCTGTTTTGTTTAATTATGAGAATTAGTCAGAGTTCTTATCATTTTTCTGGAAATATGTTTCACCATGTTACGACTGATGCAGATAGTAGCATAGTTTAGGAGCATTACATTGTCACCAATCCTAGAATCATCGTTAGGTTTCCGTAATCTCTGTAATTAATATGAACTGATATGATTTGGAATTGATGTGACTATACAGACATGTTTCAGCATATTGACTACTTTACTGTCTCTGTCTAATACAGCAGTAATCCAACAGTATCTGCTGATGAGCTCAGACAACATGAAGGACAACAATGACGCTTTTTTGGCTTGAGAATGAACGTGGTTGCAGTGCTGGTCCCTTACATACAGCCCTGTCCGCTCTAAAACAAAAGTAAACATTTTTGAAAGCAATTGCTGTGGAGTGGAGTAGCTACTGTTGAGTTATTGGTGTCGGTCAACACCCTTACCAAACCCTGCACATTTGGTCGTGCTCCTGTATGTCACAGTAATATCTTGCTTTTAATGCATCTTTAGGGTTTGTAGATAGGAAGGTGCTGAAAGCTCTCCTGGGTTTATTTCATAATGGCTGCCAGGTTTGTTAGCAATAAGGCAGATTAATGGGCTCCATGCTGTTACCGTGCAGGTGGCCATAGCTGTGGCAGCATGCTGTGCTGAGTGCAGCTCTGGCCAGGCTTGTTAAGACACAACCAGTGAAGTGGGCGACTAGCCCCCAGAGGAGGCACCCACCTCCATGTGGGCCAGCAGGCTACCACTAGTTGACAAGTTTCAGCTTGCCCTTTACTTGACTGAGTCGCTCTTAGTGATAATGTTTGTTTTCCTGTGCCCCCTTCTTTTATTCCTCTTGAGTCATTATTCTGCCTCTTTTACATGTTCCTTGTCTGCATCAATTTCTATTTCTTTTTAATTTCCTTTACTGCGTTCATCCCAATTTCTAACTTTTTAAACTTACTTTTCCCCTCCTCTTTCAGTGCGCTCCAAGAATCGTTAAACCAGAACTTCCTGCTGGTCATCAGCCACCGCGAGGCCCAGAGGGACTACAGTCTCAACTTCCCTGGCTCCAAAACCATACAGGAGGTATGACACCAGCATGTACGCAGATGCAGACCATTCAGAACATTAGAAAGTCTCTTTATATGCCCAGGCACACATAAAAAAGCTCTCAGTAACTCTCACTCAGAGCCTCACATACATAATATTATTGTACCTGATTCTAGTTTCCCATAACACAGCTTTCATTCCATTGGCCAAACATTGCTAGTCTATCTCAGCCATCGATTCATTATTCATCACAAATGATCACATTTCCGAGCACATAATTACTCTCACAGCTGTGGTCTGGTACAACCCCCTCTTTTTCTCCCCGTTACCCCCTACGCTGCGTCTTTCTCCCTCTCTCTCAGCAGTCTAGGAGGCGGTTTAAATACTGAACATTGTTTGATCTAGGCATGCAGGAGAAATGGAAAGAGACAGAGTCTATTCATTTTCTTCGTCTGAAACTAAACAGTAGATTTGGCAGCCTATGAAATATTTATAGTAACTCATACTGGACCCAGTGTGAAGGCAGTACACCTCTCTGTCCATCGGTTATTACTATCACAGCTGCAAATGAATTAAAGCTCGAAGAGCATGGAAATATATGTGTCTGCTTGCTTGCCTATGTAGATGAGGAAGTGTGTCTGTGTCAATGTTTGATCCCATGTGGGTTCACACACACATACACATACATTTATTTCTGTCCTATACCCATGCACAGTTCAGTTGCTGTCACAGGTGAGGGGAAATTAGCTCCTCAAAGACCAATCAGATAGGATAGACAAGTCCCACTATTAATCTTACATCACGTGTTAATGAAGTAATCATAATTTGCTTTAGATATATGGGATTGAATATATCTTGTTTTCATTCCTGTGCCAGCTTTACATGATTTAGATTTCCTCTTTTTTCTTGCTTGCGTTTTCTCTTAATGGTCTCCATGTTTTACATCTAGCTAATTATTTACTCTCAAGCAGCAGTAAAAGGTGTTCTTTGCTCACTGCAGCTCGAGCCTGGCTCCTCAGTGCGGGTGAAGATTACACTAATAATAATCAGGCCACTAGCAGTGCTTGTAATGGTGCTAATTGAACAGATTAGTGCAACCAACGTCTGAACTGGAGGAGGCAGCTCTTCTCCCTGGTTTTCTCTCTCTCCTCCCTCGCTCTTTCATTTTTCTCCTCCCTCTGTCATCTCTCTCTCACCCTCTTCTCAGGCAGATGGTTTTGATGAGCACCCACTGTGAACCTTAAGTGTTTCTGCTGGGATTACAAACACTGGGGAGGGGTCCCTGCGGTGTGGGAGGGGGGAACCATGGACACAGAAAGGAGGCAAAGCACTGTTGGCTTGGTGGGGGTGCTGTAAGAGGCCATAGGGGATAGAGAAGGGACAATGTGGGCTTAAACAGGCCTCCATGTCGCGGTCTTTTCCTTACGCATGCTTGTCTTTAGGCATCTCAAGGCCCCCTGCAGTGAAAATGAGGCCTAGAACTTTAACCTGCATAGATCTGGACTCTGTTTGCCCCATGTTGACCATGCGCTTTATATATTTACTTTTTAGCCAGAGAACAGGCGTCTTTCCTTTTTTTATTACTGTAATATGTTAGGCAATAATATGTTATTAAAGCATGTGTACAACTATATAGGGATTGATTCAAAAGGTTCAGTAGCCAGTGTGGAGAGCTACAGGTGCAAGTACAGTCAGTAGAGGCAGTTAAATAGTGGTTGTGGATGACCTCACTGAAGTTGCTTTAGAGCAATTTGTGATGCTCATAGTATAGTTAAGTTGTGGATTTTTTTTTTAATAAAAACAATAATAAAAGACACAAACAAGTGTATTTCTTCATAAGAAGAATTAAGAATGCAACAAAGAGGTAACACCATATTCAGCCAGCCTGACTCCCCTTTTTGCTCATACTGTGTCCACTCAGACACATATGGACTCCACTACAGAGCACCTTTCTCTTCCCACTCTCCCTTTTGTCTTAGCTGAAGACTAGCCGATGGTCCCTGCTTGTGCATATCAATAGGGATAGAGTCCTGTCTTCTTGTTTGTCTTTGCCAAAGGCTCTGGCTTTGCCTTGTGGCTCTCAGGGAACTGCCCTTGCCCCTCCCTTTTTATTCCTTCATTCTCCATCTCTCTCTCTCTCTCTCTCTCCCAGTGTCCCTTCTCTACCTTCTTTCTTCTCCATCTCTAGAGCACAGGCCTGTGTAGACTCTGATTGGCATTACCAGACAAGAGTGTGGGGGTAAGTTGCTGGCTAGCTTCTGAGCTAAGCTGGAGAGCAAATGTTTGCCAGGGACGTAGAGGGTAGAATAGGGATGGCTGCTGGTTTCGGGGTGTCCGTGACCAGACCAGTTGTCCTGGGGATTTCCCTCCTCGACTGCCCCCCAGGGCTGGGCCTGGGCCCCATCCCTACTCCGCAGCTGGGAGACATATAGGAACCAAATGCAGACATGGCTACAGAGCTGAGAAAAGGAAGGTTGGACCGAAAAAGGAATGAAAGAAAGGCATCTGGTGCCTAGGGGAGATGAAGAAAGAGAGCGAGAGTGAGAGAGAGAGAAAGAGAGAGAGAGAGCTTGTGACTGTTTAACGGAAACCTTTCCTTCTCTTTGATTTGCTTCCAACCAGGGATTACAGGCAATTGGCATTTACAATGATTGGATCATTAATTTTGCTGTATTGCCCAGCAGCTCAGCACCACAGCCAGTCTAGCTAAAGTTGTGTATAACTGACTTGTACACCCCTGCCGCATCTCAACATGAACAGCAAACACACAAATCAGCAGCGCTCTTACTATTAACACTTTGTTTTAAAAGCCATTATGCTCTGTTAAAGACATTTCTTTTACATTTTAGCTTCTGTATGTACCATTCAGGTTGATGGATAATTTTCATGTGCAGTTGGAGTCTTTCACCGTTGGTGCCATGTTCTGCTTACAAACCTATAAAGCCTTGTGCTATATAATGACATTACAGCAATACTCCATTGTTGTAGGACAGACAAGTTTTAGCTGGTAATTGTATGTAAAATTTGCTATGTGAAATTTGTTACTCAAATTCACTGTTAAAATATAATTGTTTTAATTTGTTGCAATCTTATTTATCAGTGAGATGGCTGTTGTGGCAGAAAGGGGGCAGCATTAGACAGTATTGCTCCCTGAATGTGGGCTGCTGTGGCCAACACATGCAATGCTTTGTAACTGGGGGCTGCAGCAAAAACTTCGACTACTAGGAGAAGCTAGGGCAACCCTGTTGTTCTGTTGCTATATTCGCTAAATTACTTGGTCTGTCTTTGATATGGTTGCATCAGATTCTCACATTAGCACTATACTTTTCATATGGTCAGAGATAGGCCGTGTGAATTACTGCCCACAGATTCTGGCGGTGCGGTTTCAGGTGGGCAGGCCTGGTGTGTAGCTGTGTTTTCTTTCTGTGGTGAGATCAGGTTGTCCTTTGCCAGGTGCCTTTCACTGTCTGTCTCCACTCTCCTCCTCCTCCACCTCTCACCTTCATTCTCTCTGTGGTGGGCGTTAGTTTGTTGTTTCTCTGATGCTGCTTTAACCTCTGACTGCTGCCTCTTCATTACTAGTGTTTATGCCTCTCCTTTCCTCCCTTTTCCCCTCTATTCATCGGCTGGCCAGCCGGTCAGTCAAATCCCTGTAGTCCGGCTGGTCAAACATAGATATTACACTCTGTAATAACACTGGCCACCCGCTCTGACCCCAGCCTGCTATCCTGGCCATAGCTTTTCTTCATAAGGATAGGCACCGAGCAATGTGGTGTGGGATTTACGATAGAAAGACAAAGGATGGACTGTGCCACTCATTTATCATTGTTCTTTTATTTTTTTCTCAGCTTGTTTGTACTGCGAATTGCTTTGCTTTGCTAGGCCCAGCACAAATAAAATATAGTTCCTTTGAGGGATTGATAACTTCGATGGAATATTTACTGTTGCCTTGATAAAGGGATAAAATCAGATTTAAATATTATTATTTTGCAAACAGTCTATTGTGTGTTTGTGCTTTCAGACACCCGTACAAATACATATACAGATGCAAAGTTTAGTAATATTAAAGTATTAAGGTGGAATTACCCAGGCGAAGTATGCCTACGCAGTCTTATTAGTTCAGTGTTTTGCAGCTGCTTTCCTGCTTTGCCTGACATTGGCTTTGACTTTGTGTTTGTAGCGTTCTTTAAGTTTCCACTTGCATGACCAGCAGCCCTGCATATGCCCAAGGATCCATCTCTCTTCAGTGCTTTTTACAAAGACAGGATTTGACCCGTGTGTAGAGGGATCTTTCGTCCACAATTGACAGTTTTCTCAGCATCAGTGTCCAGCCCTGCGGGCCTGAAGGGCAGGATTCTGCTGAACAAATGCACTAGAATCCACGGCCGCCAGTGCTCAGACGCCGGCGGGGCTTTGATCACCATCGGCTGGCGCACATCAGGCTGGCGTTGGGGCTTTAAACCAACAACCCACTGGACGGTGTAACACGGCGCTCAGTTGGACAGGCGCTGCTGGCTGCTAACTGTTTAAAAGCACGGAATGTTATTAAGTGATGCAGATACAGCGTCCGCGCATGAATGGGAAAAGAGAAATACTGTTCATTTCAGAGCGTGGGGCTGTTGTTGCTGGGCATTAGCTGTGGCATCTGAAGAATGCCGATAACACTGGCTGTCTTTTTTATTTTTTCTCCTCCTCTCTCCTTTTGACTCATCTCCTCCTTCACTCACTATCCTACTTTTTCCCCATGCGGCTGAATGGAGGATACTTTGATGTAACACTTACTATAATTTATAACGTTGTATTAACTGATAAAGAGAGAAAGAGTCTTGGAGATATTTTCCACTTCCAGTGTTAACAAATCTTAATGACAAGAAGACAAATAAAGACAAATATAAACATTTTTAGTGGAGATTTATAGTTGAGCTGTCTGTAATGTTTTACCTTTTCACATCATGTAGTGTTATGCAGGTTTGATTTTTGTACTTTGAAAATACACTAATAACTTTATCTTCCCTTTATATTTGCAGGTGAAGAGGAACATTTCAGACTTGACCAACATCCCTGTCCGGCATCAACAGTGGGAGGGATGGCCCGCCTCAGCATCTGATGACTCCGTAAGAAGCACAGGCACACAAAAACATGATCAAAAATTTAATTTAACTTGTTAGCCAGACTTACTGTAACATTGCTACCGGTCAAATGGTAACATCTATCTTCACTTTACGGTGCACTGTAAATGCTGCCTTTACGTTACCCTACATAATTAATTAGAAGATAATTAAAAGTCACAAAAGCACAAATTAAAGCCCATGGTTCACAGATTAGTGATTTACATGATTTAAATACTTGCTAATTGCAGTGGAAACTGTTCTACAATCTGTAACCCATCCCAAAACCATCTGTCAGAAGCGTCAGAGTAAGATGTTGAAGCTAATTAAGATGTCAAAGACTGTTCCCATCCTGCGTCCTCTATCTGTGGACATTAAATCTCACATCATTGAGTCCCGCTGACCTCTCCCGTCCCAGGGTCGCTCTTTCCAGCCATTCACCCTGAACACAGTCAAGCTGATCAGAAGCAGCCCTCATACAGAACCTTGAGGAACCTCTGACCCCTTTTGTCTCACCCCTTCTTTGACAGCATATGTGTTCCCATGCTAATTGTATGGGATGGTTTATCATGCTACATTGAGGAGCTGTTGTGCACACATTCTTGTGTTAACCCCTAGCTAACGTTTTCCTTTTAGATCTATGTGATTGTTGTTTGATTTGGAGTATTGGTATTGACTTTGTTTCACTTCTTGTGTGTTATTATATGTGCCCTATGACAGAATTGGCTCTACTGTAGCAACTAGATTACATTCAATTTATTTTATGAGTAGTAGTGCGCATTTATGATTAATTGGGAAAACCTGTTTTCTATAAACAGTGCTTTGGTGGATACTTCTATTCGATATGTCACCCATTATTCATGTTTTTAAAAAACTCAAAGCTAATGAACAATAACTGCACCTGTTTTTAGGACTCGGAAGTAAAGCTTGTAAGATTAACAGTGAAAGCAAATACATTGCACCATTAATGTGCCTAAAAAGGAAAAGAACAAACGGTTATGCATCCTTTCACTGGAGAAGATTGTTTGCTTTATTGTGTACCATTACAGCTCAGAGCAGGCAATTGTAAAGCCGGTAACCACCAAACAAACCATACTGCTATGATGCAGATTTGTCATTGTTTGCATTATCTTTGTAGACATCCAGATATGTGATCAGTAAACGGCCTTGGATTAAAACAGAAATACAAATCTTAGTTTTAATCTGAGAGCACATTGTGGGCATGTTGCACAATGACTGACCTCATTGTTGTGCTCATGTATTATGACACCACATTACTTACTTTTCCCGTTTTAAACCACAACGTGCAGCTTGTGCTTTCTGACTTTCCTGTTAACACTAACAGAGGAAGAGAGCTAACCTCTTCTAAAACTGTTTTCCACTGATCAGTGAAAACATTATTACATCTCAAAGCATTAAAATATACAATAATTCATTTAGCTTTTAATTTATTTTCCTTTATAATCGAAAATAATAGTATTTTAAAAATGTGTGATTTAATGAAGTAACACCAGTAATTTCAATTAATTTCACAAACTGTCAGGAATCAATAATTTCAAAAATGTATTGTATATTTTGACCATAACAAAACAACTACCTTTTAAACATTTGCTAAAAAAAATTTAATGTTTAAGTGATATTAAAGCATTTAATTGGTGTATATTTGCACAAATATGTGACCTAACCACTTAAAACCAACAGTGTAAGCTATGTGAATTTTATCACCAAGCAAACACTACCAATCTGAGTGTAATGTTAAGATAAGTAAGGATAAAGTCAAATAATTCCTTTTTTACCTTTTTTATATTTTTGTGATCTGTGTTCTCCTCAACTCAGCTTCCTCGGCTCATCTACCCCCTAGGTAGCTGTGGATATGATGGCCAGGGATCATGAGTAGATTGCAGCTCATTGTGGCATCATAGGCCCGGTTGGCACCTGGCTAACACACATCTGCAGTGTCTGTGTTTCCTGGTATAGGAGATATTAAAAAGCACAGAGACAGAAGTGTAATAATGGCCTCTGCTCTAGCCGCAGCCCTCTTATTGAAACGTCTGAAGGTATTAACAGAGAAAGCCCAGGGCTTGGCTGGCCTAGCAGGCGGGTAGGGAGCCAGTGTTAGTGTCTAGCTCATTAGCCCAGTCTCATCTCCCGGGGTTTGGGCCAATAAACATGGCAGCCAGAGGCCCCAGATTACGTTTAGCTCTGCACACTAGCCCGCTTGCAGTGGAATCGATTACTACTTAACTCTGCTTTGCCTTTAAGTGTGCAATATAACTGTGTTTGCCTGCTTGTATTTATGTTTGTGTGTGTTGTGTGTTTGTGTACAATTGGAAAGGCACATTTAAAAACACACACTGTGTCTAGGGCTTGTTATCAACCCTCAATACTTTTTGAGTATCAACAGAGCTGTGTCTGTTACACCAGATTTTGAAAACATGGCATTGAAAATAGCCATTTGATGCTTGGTCAAAATTTTTGTCTTGTTTACTTATTTTTTAAGTCAAACATTTCCTAGTTTTTATCAGTTTTTCAAATTGTATTGTATTTTATCCAATTAAAGTTCATAGCATTAAACACTGATGCAGCTGACATTGATCTTAAATAGAAAAAACATTTTCTGTCGTTTTGGCATCAGTATTGTATTGGCAACAGTATGACATGTTTTTTAGCTGTCACATTACCAGTGTAGTTCAGTGTAGTTGCCTCTAGCATGGATGCTGTGGCAGTTGAGTCGGTAGTTCCCTGTTCAGTTCTCAGACTGTGTGGTTCTGCTGCAGTTACAGTCATGTGTAAAAATATATTTGTTTTGTAGGCACAAGAAGCACCACTTTTTTTTTAAACTATAGTTAATATAATTGATCAATTTGTTCAGAATATCTATTTCAAGTGTCTGTTGTTCTTGTGTTCTGAGAAAGATATTTGAGTGGTGGCATTGTTTGTTTATGTATTGTTGGAGTGTAGGAAATTAGTTTGTTTCAAAGAAATTCTCACCTTTCAGGGAAACTAGTAGTTACGTGTTACTTCACCCTCCCTGATACTGTCCACTCAACCTGTTTCATTGTTTATTGTGCTCTGAATTATTCAAGGCCTTATCGAGAGTTGAAATTGGATCAGAATGGATAGTGCTCATGTAGCACTGAACAACAGATCAGTTTATTCAGTGCACTGTGTTATTGTATGTGGTGTTAAACCAAGGTAGTTGAATGTAAAAGGAAGTGGTACAAAGTGTAGTTTAAGCAGTAGCAACGTGAGGTGATGCTCATTTTCTAGCAGGCAGATTGTGTTGACCTGGGTCAAGTACTGGTTTGAAATACAGTAGTTCTCAGTGTCTCAAAATGTTTCTGGAGTGCATTCTTTAGGTGCCATGATTCCAGTGTTCCTCATATTCAATTAGAAGACAGTTTGTAGTATTTGCCAGAGTAGTAGTAGATCATGTTGGGAAGCACACTGTCACTATTTTTTTGTGTGTGTTAGCATTTTTTTAAATTGTCAAAATAAATTACACTTGTTGTACTTTGCTATTGTTAAAACATGATGAACTCAGTCTACTCCAATTGGATTAAAACAAACACTTAATTTCCAAATACCATAATCTAGCTCTGCGTTCAAATTCCTCATGATTCTTGTAGCTTTGGCAAAGCTGCTCTGAACAGTGCTGAATATGCTGAGGTCTTGGCAGCTACTGATTTAAGAGGCCAACAGGACATTAACTTCCTCTGCTATTTAAAATATGCTGATTGAGCCACGTCCCCCACTCCCTCCATCTCCAAACAGGCCTCATCTCATTGAAGCCGTTCTGATTGACAGTCTTCCCTCCACACCTGTTGGAGTGATTGACAGCTAGTGGGACATTCTTATTACATCCCCTCATCTCTTCAACCCCCACCTACCTTTCCTTCTAGCCAGTAATTGCTGACATTTATGCAGTGTTTCATGGTGTTTGCTAATGTATTAATGCTGCGGAGCCTCAGAGGTGCCTTGCCTTGTAGGCCACCACCTCCCTCCATTTCCCAGCTGGCATTAATGGAATCCTCCTCTACCTGATAGGGGCCTATGAAACTGAGGGTTTATTTAGAGGGGTGGGGGAGGGGTGCGGGGGGGGGGCTGGTGGTTTCCGTAGCAACAGTGCTCAGCCGTAAGCTCAGGCATAGGCCCCCTCCCTTGTGAGATTGGCTGGCTTCAGGTGACATTCAGCACTAAGTTAGTCTGTCTGTCTCATTTTTTATCTCTTATAACTGTTGTTATGTGTTCTGTGAAGCTCGCATTTCACAGAAAAGGTTGTGTCTTTATTTTTGGAGGAGGATGTTCGTCCTCATTAGCTTGGTCACCCTTTAGACCCCCCACCTCCCCTCAAATTGCATATGAGCACAACACCATCCTGGATGGAAGAGACAACACCTTAACACCCACTGTTACATCCCACTGACCCAACAGTCATTTGTTTATGCCTACTATATATTTGTATGTGTGTGGATGTACATTACACACACTGCAGATATTAATCAGGAGAGGCATCTTCAGCAAGGCTCAGAGGAGCCTGAAAAAAGGAAACCAACAGGTGTTAAGGGTGGGGCACACTTGGTCTGTCTTTCTTTTTCTTTTGCCTTCCTTCTCCCTATCACGTATTAATTTTTCTCATGTTTGTACTATTTCTAACTCATACTTGTTCCTCCATCTTTTTCCCTTTACTGTCTACTCTTCCCCACTTATGTCGCTGTTCTTTCCTTGCTCCATCAAAGAGAATGTGGTGTAAGGTGGTACTGTGGTTGCTGTCAGTGCAGCTGTCAGTAGTAATTATCTCACACTCGCAGCCAGACACCTAATCCAAACACTGCCTACACTAGAAAAGAAAAAATGAAACACAGAAAGAATGAAGGGAGAGAAAGGAAAAGAAAGAAGGGTAGGGAAGGGAAGAAAGGCTTGGAAGAGAAAGGGGGGGGGGTAAGGGAGAGAGAAAATTCTTTCCCTGTATCGGCCCCTGAATGCTTAGAACCTCAATGCAAGTGTTAATTAAAAGAATCCAAAAAAAGAGGAGCCAGTTCCTTTGTGTGGAGATGTGGGAGAGGGTCATTTGGGGGGGTTAACCTCATCCCCCCACCCCCCGTGCCCTGCGGCGCTTCAGCCTTGTTTCCACGTTTTACCACTGAGCCACCAAGCTGCACTTGTGTACCTCAACATCAGGAGAAGCCATCGGGTCAAAGCGAGGAAGAGGATTGAGAGGCACTCAACTCATTTTTTTCCCTTTTCACCTCCCCTCCTTGCATCCATGTCAGCCCTAACCCTCCAGGCTGTCTTTGACAGGGGAAGTGATCAACTTTATTTATACACTTATTAGGCCCTCAGACGAAAGCCTCTCATTGTGAGAAGTGGGGGTAAAGGGTTTATGGGGATCCTTTCGGCAGCCGCTGTTAAGATTCTCACGTTTGATTGCCACTCGATTGAGGAATAGGCAGAATAGACTGGGGCCATGCCTTCACATCCTTAAGGCTCAGACCCTGTATGTCTTTGTCTGTTCAATACCTACAACTCTCTCTCTCAGTGCTAATGCAACTCTCAGGCCTGACACCATCATGTCTCAAATGGCCATAGCTTTTCTTTAAGCCACTGTTGTTTTTTTCTTTCGTTTAAAGTATCGCTAACGTATTTTACTTGTTTTTGTTCTATTACTTTGTAAAGTTCTCTGGAAAAATATGAATAACAGAATGATCTAATAAACAGGACCTGAGTTTTAAATTAGTTAGAGTAAAGTTACATGAGCAAAGACGAGGCAATTCAGTTAAGTGTTCTTCGTAGGTGTTCCAGGGATCAGCTGTCCTTGCTGTGACATTTACACACTTCATTGTCATTGTCAAGAGTACACTGGCTAAACACAATCTGTTTCTTCTGTTATCTGTGTGTACACCTCTGTTACTGTGTCGTGGGTGACTGGCTGTTTGAGGCCTCATAGGGAAGGTTTTAATTTAATGAGAAATACAAGTATTGTATTGTATTTGTCATATATTTTACTGTTTGCTTGTCCCTTTAGCAGTGATGTCATTCTTAGTTTGTGTAGTTTCAACATTGCATGGCAGTCTAGACACTGCTTTTTCTGAACATTTTTTTTGCTTAAGACAACATGGAGAAGGAATACTCATCAGGATGTTGTTCATTCTCAAACTGTCAGGGGAGATACTGTGTTTCTCATATGTTCTCCTTAGTTACTGAGCTGGTGGGAATGTAAGACACAATGGTCAATATTATAATCAATATATCCCCAGTCAACTTTATATATGTATGTGCAACCACATCTAAGCAACAAGTAACATGGTTGAATTCAGGGGTGGGCAATATGAATAAAATCCTCCATCGCGATATATGTAATTTATATTTATCACAATAATGATGATGGATATTGTGATACTGTACTTTTTCAGAAAAATTCATTAAGCTGTTCATGGACCCAAAAAACACAAGATAAATGTGTATATCAAAATATTGTAGCACTAGTTGCATCTATGCATGCATGTAGCTCAACTGTCCAAATGTTTTTTTTTTTTGTGCAAATATTTTGGTCTTTTGTTTGGCAGCTTACTCACTTTCTAACATTGAAGAAGATAAGGTGGGGTGAAAAGATGGAAAGTAGTAGACACCAAATATTATAGTTCTTATCAGTGCCAGGTACACAACAGTACTCACTAGTAAGTCCATGTTGCTGACAAGGTCGAGTGGTTACACTGTTCTCTCCTGCTATAGAAGCTGAGGCCAGCGTGAGGAACCTCTCTATTTTAAAAGAGACAGAGAGAGAGAAGCTCCCTGCGGTCTGTGTAACCCTTTTCAGACTCAATTGGCGTTGCATGTAATCGTCTCCTGATTCAACCATGTCCAGCTGCTCTTTGTGTTTCTTAGCATCTGACAATGGAGCAGATCACAGGACCTCTGCAGGGGACGAGCAGCTTCGCTGCCTCTTATCACACCCAGCCTGCCTGCCCTGCCCCAGCCCTGTTTAGAAGTTCACTCTCCCAGAAAAGTTTTTGCATCTGGATTTTCCGCTTTGCCCTTAACAATTAGTACGTCAGTGAATATATTGTTATTTTATTGTAACTAGTGTCAGTATATTCGGGCTACAAGTCATGGTTTGATTGTTTGACTGCACGCCACGTTTTAAAAGCTAGGTCTCTTTAGTTTGACACTACACCCTGCAACCACCTTGCATGTATTGTTGATGTCCCTTGGGGCCTAAGCCAGGAGACACCAGCTGTAATGAGTCCCTGCTGAACGCTGACATTTTCAGTCCTGGCTTTGGGTTTAGCAGCTCATTAGTCAGGTGTTCTCTTACTACAAACCACCATCACATTAACAGGTACTGCAGGTGTACAGAAACCTCATCAAGGTTCTTCTCTGATTAGTGGGATGAGCAGAGCTGTGTTTGAAAGTCAAGTATCTCATGATACGGGCTATACTTCTGCTTCCTGGGGGAACCCATTCCTAGATAGGTGAACAAAAGTATAGAGGTACTTTGATGTACAATTTGAGTCAGTTGTGTTGTCTTGTTCTGATTAGAACAATAGTTCAGTCTAAAGTGTAGTACTGTTTACCATCACTCACTCCCCCTGATGATAGGACTCAATATGACTGGATGGTAACTTTGAGTGGGCTAAGATTGGGCCAGTAATGACATAAGATCTCACACAACTGGTTGCTTATTAGACTAGAGTTAATCACTCTTTCATTATGTTTTTTGTTTTTAGATGACGCTAGCTGTCTCTGGAATCAGCTATCCTTGCCATCACCTCACTGTTTGTCGAAGGTCTTCACCAGCCAATTCCCAGGAGCCCACAGAAGAGGTATACACACAAACACTCTTTCTCTGAGCATCTATGCTGTGGATTAATTTCTATCAGGGCGCTGTGTATACATGCTAACTCATAAAACATGGTAACGAAATGCTTCTGTTAATTGCTTCTGTTGAAATAAGTCTGGTAATTAATGCATCATTTATATTTACAGTGTGCAGATGTCCATATGGTCAGTGACAGCGAGGGGGATGATTTTGAGGATGCATCAGAGTTTGGTGTGGACGATTCAGAGATGTTTGGAATGGGCTCTTCTACCTGTCGGAAAGCACCTATGAGTACGTACAGTGGAGCAGCTTAATATTGTTAGAGTAGAGTTCTTCATTGTAGCTACAGGTATTATATTAAATGCCAGTCACGTTTCCAAAGCTTGACCATAAACTTGCTTTTGTCCCCTTACAGTGCCAGAAAATAGTGAGAATGAAGCTGATGCCTTACTGCACTTTACTGCCGAATTTTCTTCAAGGTGAGCTAAGCGCCAGGAAACCTGACAAGTCATTTTTGGAAAGAGTTTGGAAAAAGGCAGGCACTTTCAAAAAATATTCAGCAGGTGATTGAATAATCTATCTATCACCGTCACAGGGGAAGTTTAACCAATCAGATCAACACACCATTCTTTGCTCTTCTTTCAGTGAAGAAATACTCTTCAGTTCTGGTATAACTGATGTTAGCAGCATCTTACACTAACCTGCATGGGAAAGTTCTGCTTGCGTAAGATTAAGATAAGATAAGATATTCCTTTATGTCCCAAAATGGGGAAAATTCAATGTTTACAGCAACAAAGTGGATAGGAGAAAAAAACAGTATAAAAACAGTAAGAGTAGGGAAATAATTATAATTATAATATAAACACTATGTACCAAGAGAAAAAACAAGTAAGAATCAAGAAAAAAACAGTAAGAATCCAAAACGACAGATAACATAAATAGTAGCAGCAACACAAAAGTAGCAAGCAAAAAGAAGAAGAAAGTTGCACTGGGCAACTAGATTGCCATGATGCTTCTATATGATTGCTGCGTCACTTCAAGCACTCTGTAGCTACCAATACTTTCTCTAAGGACGCTGATTGGTCCACCACCACTGTACCGCATAAACTGATTCTTGTGTGATCCTGTGAGTCCAGCTGCCTCGCAAGGTTGAAGTGTCAGGTGCTTAAGGTATTTATTCACAGGACTTTGAAATCAAAGGAGGCTGGCGGATAACAGTGTGTTTATGTTTGTGTGTTCTGTAGGTATGGAGAGACCCACCCCATGTTCTACATTGGGTCTTTGGAGGCAGCATCTCAAGAAGCCTTTTATGGCAAAGCCAGAGATGTAAGTAAGCTGATTGACTGGGGCCTTAAAGGGAGGTTTTTGGTTTATTTAGATACTGTAACAGGTAACAAAATCCTATTTTCCTTTGTCCCTTTATATTTCACACTTTTAATTTTGACTATGTGTAAGATATGAGGGACAGATGTTACCAATGTTGACTTATCCTATAACACTGATGTCATTTCTGGTTGGTGTCGTTCAGCCACTGCTTTTTTTGAGCAGTTGTTTTTGCTTAAGACAACAAAGAGGAGAAACACAGACCGAGCAGGATATGGTATTATTCATTCTCTATTTGTCAAGGGAGATACTGCGTTTCTCATATCATATCTTTAATTACTGAGCTGGTGGGAATTTAAGACACAATAGTCAGTATTATAACCAGCATGTGCCTAGTCTACTCTTTTTTTCAGTCCAGTTGTACAGTGGATCTTACTTTCCTGAGAACCATTTTCTGGTTTTCGTCAATATTGTGGTTAACTGTTTTTTCTGGAACCCTCAGTGTTGTCACCACTTCCATCCCATGAGATGCTGCCTTTTGACACAGAGCTTTTGTTGGTTGAACACAGTTGGTAAAGCCAGAGATGCATGAGGACCAATACATGTACAGGGAGTAGACAAACAATCTAAACATCAAAAGGAAACTAACTTAACTCTGACGTAACTTAATAATGATTATAAATATTTGGCTAAATGCCAGTTAGAAGTATTTATAACCACTAAAAGGATCAGTCTCAAAAATCATAACAACATATGCCAAATGCAGACAAACTGAACTGGCAAAGAGGAACGAAATAAAATTAACCAACAGACACGTTGAAGTCCTTTTTCAGACAGTATTTACTGTTATTTGTCTACTCCTTGTGTCATGCTGTGTGGAGAAGGCTTTATAGCCACATTGATATAATTTCATCAAAACCCTCATCAAATTTTCACCCTGACAGCTGAGGCTTTATTTTTAGCTGTCCACTTTCCCCCCTTGTTTTTTGGCTTTTGTCCTTTTAAGGATGCTTGTATCAACTGACAGCTTGTGTGGATTACAGCCTTATTAGACTGTGAGGACACAGCAAGATGTTAGGGGGGTTCAGATCACCAGGCACACAGAGAGGGAGGGAGGGTGAAATGGATGATGCTAAGGGCATAAAACAGAGAACATGGTCTGAAAGGAGAGAAGGGTGCAAAAAGTGAAAGTCAGAGACGGAGTGAGAAGAAAGAGAGGAATGAAAGCATGAGCTATTGCAGGATAGGGGTAAGGGATGGAGAGAGTGTGAAATAAACCAAGATGGAAAAAACCTAAAGTGAAGCTTGGCGTCTCGCCTGTTTCCCAGCTGATCTCCTCTCCTAAGCCAGCACAATATGGCCGATGTCTCCCTGGTGTTCACACACTCTGTATTGTACCACTGTGCTCTACACAGCGCAGGGGCGAAATAGTATTCATTTTCACCGTATTATGTTTTATTCTGGGTGAGCTTGATTTAGTCTGCCAACTGTGCCGTGGTTAGAATGGCTTTAGGGAAGCTGGATACGTGCAAAGAATTTAGCATGAAAACAGAAGCTATTTGATCTGTTCTGTGTTTGTCCTGTTTTGTCAGAAGCGTCCTAGACGACAGGCCAAAACATGCTGCTTTTGACGGTTTCATTACACAGTAGCATATGTGCACGATTACACCGTCCCTTCCTCCATCTTTCCAGCCATCCTAGGCTTTGCTCTTTGCTTCCATTCGGAAAGGAATCTAGTTTTTGCGTCTTCATTGTAGAAAAAGCATACTTCATTAAGGGGATATTGGAATAGGGCAGATTTGACTGAAAGGGGACTACTCGGTGGGTTTATAAACAGAGGAATCAGTCTCACTCTCAAAGCCTGGGAGAGGCTAATCACTAAGCAAAACACTACATTTGATGAAGTGTTTCTGAAGGTGTGTGTTGGGGGACTGTTGAGATAGACTCAATCCATCCTTAATGAAAATGCTTTGGGCTGCAGAGCTGAGCTGAGCTGAGCTGAACCCTCTTGGGGATCAGTGGTTAGTCAGAGCGTACAGAGAGATAGGCCACCCATCACTAACCACGATCCTCACTAAATCCCCATCAACGCAGTGGTTAATCACTCTAACCCCACTCTCCTCCGCTCTCCACTCCTCTCTCCTGTCTGCCACACACAAAGACACATCAAAATTCATAGCCTTGCTGGAAAGGGGAGTTCAGGGATTTATCACTGCCAAGTATCCGCTTTAAAACCCAGCAATAGCCTTGCAGAGTCAAGAGGAAAGAGCACTGGTGAATCAGAATGGCATATGGCATATAGATGTGCGTATATGTCAGATCTAGGGCTGTAAATCAGAACACTCAGTCACGGTTTATTGACTGCACCTGAAATGATCACTCTCATGCATAAATACATGGAATAACAGTTAAATTAATGTAGAGTGTTGCAGGCAAATACGCAGAAAACTAAGGAATGAACGCCCCTATGTGTGAATATATTAAAACCTACATTTTATCTATCAGTATATGAGGTGGAGCTTGCATAGCCTAAATATACATACTGAGCTTTAAGCATGTAATTCAAAGCTGGCAATTCATTTGATTAGTTTAATCACACTTTTGAAAAAGTTCCAACATTTGATGCAGTTTCTTTTATAAAGAGGTAATGTGCCTTCAGCCAGGTGTGAAGAGCTTCCTGTGTGGTTGGTCATCGATCTGAATGTGTTTTTCCTCTGTGTGTTTATGGTCATTAGATCGGTCATTTGAGCTCCTCATTTTGAAGTGTTTGCTTTTCCAGACTGAGCCTGACATCTGTATAGCAATCACTATCTGGACTTCATTCCCTCTGTACCTTTCTGTGCATGTGTGTATCTCATTCACTGGTCTCCTCGGCCCTGTTAAACATATCGAACCGTGCTAAACAGAAGACACACCTTTGATTAAGGAAAAAGATACAAATTGAACCCTCGAGTCCCACGTCAAGTTTGCTCAAAAAAAGCTTCAAAAAGAAATTCCAGACTGTTTGATTGTCACATATATATTGTTTGTCTCTTTGTGGCAATGCTGAGTTAGGGTGACTGGAAAGGTGAATAAGGTATGCCATATATATATATATCTATATATATATATATAATAATATATATATCTATTATAAATATATATATATAATATATATATAATAATATATATATATATATATATATATATATTTATTATTATATAAGTATAGTCATGCTCTAGGTCCAGGCACTGTAACAGAAAGGGATTTTTTGGAAACATTATAGAAGATAATATATATTTTTAACTTACAATGGCTATAAAGAAGATAGCTCATTTATGATGCCCACATGTCCCTCTAGATAAGGGAATTATTAATGGTATTAAATCCAGTAGTAGTAGTAGTAGTTGTAGTAAGTAGTAGTAGTAGTAGTAAAAAAGTAGCGAACAGGAATAAATTTGGATGAAAATGTATAATTATTTTATTAAAGGTGGTAATGACAAAAACTCTATTAATCTAACTTCAGAGTAAGAGGAACATTGATTATACAGTCAGTGCTGAGTTAATGGGAACACTGTTCTACTGCGTCTTTAGTCTCTCTCTCTTTCTCTTTCACACACACACCCGCACACAAAGCAAGCTTGGATTTGGGTGAACAGGTGTGTGGAAGGGGCTGTGGGGTCACTATCTAGCTCAGGTTGGACCTAGTAATTTAGCTGAACTGAGGGATTTGCTCCTCCCTGCTAAGACAGGCAATACAAAAGCTCTGACTTGAAAGCAGAGAGGGAACAGAGGGGTATGGACAGTTTAACTAAGATGAAGGAGTTCAGTTTGCTAAAATGCCCACTTTGATTAGTCTTTACACTTGCTCTAATTGAGCATGCATGTGTGCGAGTTAGGGTACCACACGGTTAAGTTTGTACATCTGCGCATGTGTGTGTCGGGACGTCAGTGTTTGAGCGTGTATCAGGTTGTTTTTTTTTTTTCATGTTGTAAAACTCTCCCTCCCCTCACACTCATTCCTCTCTCAAGACTGAATTTGCTTGTCTTCTCAGCATGAGTGTTTAATCTTTTCAGGCCGTTGAATCGGCCCAATGAATGAGTCCCCAGCTCCTTCTCTCTAGGAGCCCTGGAGATTATTCTAAAGCACTAATCGTTGAGCAAACACAGCAGTGCTCTCCCATTCCCATTCTACACAGGCCACAGTATAGCACAACTTCTTCTTTCACTTCCCCTCACGTTTTACGCCCTGTGTAGATTTTTTGCTTTTTGGCGTGCGTAGCCTAGATTACTGCTCCTGAGAAACAGACCTCTTGATTCCCCCTCCACAGCCATGGTTAAAAATGCACTAAGCAGAGACCGAGAGAGTTTTTCTTATTTGTTCTTTTATAGCAAGAGAAGTGACATGTAATTTAGAGAGCATTATTTCCAACATTGTCCCCTGGAACCTTTTATGTTTGTGGGTGTGTTTGTTTTTTAATTAGATTGTCAGTAGGGAGAATCTGCCAGGCTTATATGATGGTGTCAATATCCTTGGATTTGGAGCTTCGTCAATATTGTCTGGCCCTGCCGCTACTAACCTGAACAGGCTGCTGGCATTTGGTGTAAAATAAATAGAGTGATTTGTCTGTTTTGTTTTCTCCATATCTTCATCGCCTCCAAGAGAAGTTTTATTTACACCGCTTTGATTTTGCGTGGTATTTGCTTTTTTGCCAGTTGTGGCCTTGCAGTGGTCTGTGGAAGTCATGCTGGCTCTGCACCCAGTGGTCTCTCGTGTCATTTTATGGTCATGTAATGTGGAAATGTCTCTCCAGTGATGAGACACACTCTCACGTGACTGTGAGGTCTCAGCAGAGATCTAAGAGCAGTGCATTTTTTAAATAAATAAAAAAACAGAATGAACGCTTCATTATTTTAAGAGGCATTTGTGTTTATAGTTTGTCATTAAACTTGTAATTTTGAAAGTCTCTTTTCCTCAAACTTCACAAAAGCTGTGCTACCATCTACTAACAGTGAACTGTACTCTTTGTTGTTTTGTTTCCCCTGAAACTGAATCAACTCCCAATGGGAAAAAAATGAAATAAAAAATCAAGTAATGGAATGGCCTTTCCACAAATGTCCATAGGGAACCAGTGGTACATTTTGCTCACATCCTTTCTTTCTTTAACTTCTAATTCTCCTCTCCACAGAGAAAGCTGCTGGCCATCTACCTCCACAATGATGACAGTGTCCTCAGCAACGTCTTCTGCTCCCAAATGATGTGTGCTGACTCCATTGTCTCCTACCTGAGCCAAAACTTCATTACATGGGCCTGGGATGTCACTAAAGAAGCTAACAAAGCCAGGTACCAGAGTTTGATTATTTTCAGGCGACTTGCTGGTCCATAGAGTGTGGGATTTATCAGTTATGTCATGTTGTATTTTGTTCCCTTATCTCTGTGTGTCTTGCTGCCTTTACTCAATATTGCTGTTGTGATATGAATAAAGACGCAACTTAGATTCTTTTGTTTATTGTATGATATAACTTTTGAGAATTATTTAACCATGTTCGACTAATACAATAGAGACATAACACATAGAATGTCCATTTTATTCTGTATACCTACTTGTGGTGGACACAATAATAGTAACACTAAAGTAAGTATAATATTTCTTCCTTTAAATACTACTTTTGTGACAGTTCTAAGTAGTATTTTACAGTATTGCTCTAGTATTTAATTGCATTGTAGTATTGAGTTTTACTTTTACTGTGTCCGCTTCTGTTGCTACAACTGCAGTACCAGGTAGTTTTCAATTTTGCCAACAATACAAACACTGGATACAGTTTTAAGCTAGAGTCCACAAAACATTGCTTCATAAGTGATCAGGATTAGGGTTTAGTCACATCTAAGTGTAGTTTAAAGAAGTTATTAAGTCAAATATTTAAATCTAAAAACAAAGGCAAACATTTAAATTATTCCCCATATCTCAAATTGCAATAACTCATACATTCACACATAAAACTGTCCAGTAGTATTCTGTGATTTCTGAGTCTCATAATGTTGGTCAAAGTGTTTGATAATCAATTGGTTGGTATTGATGAAAACTATACGACTATAAGACCCCAAGTTGTTTTAAAAAATGAATTGCCGTTTTAACACTGAAGTAATTGTATGGACTTCTTAGAGAGCCTGGCACTTACGAGAATCGTACTGTGCTCTGACTGCATGCTTAATTCTTATGTTTTATTTACTTACTGTCTGGCAGAGTTGTATCTAATAAAGGGGATATGGAATGTATTTGATTGTGTGCAGAGGGTTGTGCAAACTCCCAAAATACTGTTAGAGGTTAATGTAGTTTTAATTATCGATCTGCCCCATCCTGTTACATACATTTATATAGTTATTACAATTAGAAGCCCTCAGTGATTGTTATTTCAGTGAGGACTGCAAGCTTTTAGAAAAGTGATCTAAAATGTTAGTGTGGATGGAACCTCATTTGACACATAAACAGCGTTTTCAAATCTATTCACGTTAGTGTGGACATGTCCTTAATTGCTGGCATTCAACTCTCACTCCATTGCTCACACCCGTATCTCTGCCTTCTCATTCTCTCTTCAACTTCATTCTCTTTTTGAAGCTCTGAGGTTGCATGCTAACAAAAGGCGTTGTGTTTGCATGGTGAGGCCCTTGATTGGGCAATCTTGACTAAGCTGTCTCAATAGAGGGTCAGTGGGAGACGAAGGACTCCCTTGGAGCCCAAACATCTCTATCTCTCCATTTACGCTCAAACGCTTGGTGCAGCTCCAGCAGTCTGTGTTGGAAACTGGCAGGTCTGTGCGACACCTGTTTATTAAACAGGTCCTGCTGCTAGGATGGATATTTAGATCTGGATTGTTAGTTTTTTAGAAAAATATTGGAAATTAATTTGAAAGTTTAGTCTGCAGTGTGTTATGGACGCAGACTGCAGATTCAAGTGTTGAACTGTAGAGATGTGGAGGTAAACTTGGACCTACTGAGGCTTTGATCGGGTTTCGCTCATTACCATTGTGACAAGCCTCAGTTCTCTCCTTTTTCCCCTCATCTTTCTGCTACATCTATTCCTTCTCCTCTTGTCTCCTTCCTGATCCTTCCATCTTTCTTTATATCCCTTCTCTTTATCCCACTCCCCCAACTCTCCAGAGTTAAGCCTGCCCTCTGGTAGCAGCCATTTAAGAAAGACTCGCACCCTGACCTAACCCCTCCATTATTTCTTTTAAGGAAATTCCCTCCTTCCTTCATTCCACTCTCCTTTCTCTTCCATTGGCCTCCTTTGCTTTTTGCCCCAGCTGAGCCTTTTTATTGCACATTAAAAGGCAGGCAACATCTGGAGCTTTTCATCACACACAGCTAGTCACAGCTTTGCTGCTAACGCATGCACACTCACACATACACTGCTTCTCTGCATTCTCACGCTCTCTTGTTGATCCAAAATGACTGGTGATTGGCATCAATCACACAGGCCGTTAGAAAGGTATCCTGATTTTGTGTGTGTGCGTGCGTGTGTGTGTTGAACCTGCTGATATTGGAATGCGCTTGTTGCTTTGCTCTGTATTCTCACAGGCCTCCCAGTTAAATGATTAATTATGCATAAATGCAGTTCTGCTGATTGGATGCCAGTGTAATTGTCACCCATGGGAAATGAATCTGATATATCGTACCGGCGCTGTACTGTCATTAAACATAACAAACATTGAAACTATCTGTAGATTAACGCACTGAAAGTAGATCCTTTTATCAGTGTGTGTCGTTTTTCCTTAAATCTGTTAAGCATTTCATTACACATTTTCTTGCTAATTTTTGATGATATGAACTCCTGTACAGTGTAGTGTAGTCCAGTACAATGGCCCAGCAATTACAGGTGTTATTGTTTATGACCTTTGAGTGTAAGTTGGTGTCTTTACCACTACGAGCACAAACCAACCTGCATACCTGTTTCGTACGCTTGACTTCTCCTTCTGACATCCTTCAAGGTGACAACATAACTGGTTGAGAGGGAGAACAAAATGTCATTTTCAAATCAAAACATGTCCATGTTTGCTCTGAAACAAAGTGTGTATGACACAGTGAGCTATCAGAGCATCCGGTTCCCATACATACTCCCATACAGATGGCTGGCAAAAACATTCCCTGCAGTGCTACTGTACTAACCTGACTCATCAGCTGCTCGGTGGAGCAAATGTCAGGCCTAAGCAGTCTACTTGCATCTTCACGCACTTCTTTGATGTGAAGAAATGCGATGTGACAGACCAGGGAAACATTAACTATTTTAGGTGTCTGGCTATGCAGTGAGAGATGGAGAATGGGATGGGTGACAAATTAGAAGCTGTCAATCACATTAACCGTCGGAGCAGAGCCTTAAACTCACCTTAGCTGCAAGTATCGTGCAGGTGTTTCCTCTACATTTAGTTACCCCTGAAGGATCTTAAAGGCCACAGGTCTCGTACAGACTAGGCTACATTCTTTACCATGTTATGTTATGGGTGGATGAGACTGTGCTGAACTGTTCACCTTAGTTTCTGCAGTAGCTTGACTTCCTCTGCCCTCAGTGTGGTGTCCATACTTGTTCTATAGGTGGATTCATAATTGCTTCATATTGCGGTTGCATCGTTTCATTTATCGTCATTTTTAGTTATAGTGGATACATAAAGGGTTTAGGCTGGGTTTCCTGATTGAGCAGTTTTTATGTTGTGATGATGATTTTCACTGTGGTGGACTGACTTCCTTAGTTTTGAGATAGAAACCAAAGCAGGTTGGCTTGTGTTTGATGGGAGATTTAAGATTGGGTTACCCTTCAAGTTAGTGTCCATTGTTCTCTGGCCTTTCATTACAGGTTAGAGTTTCCCTGTGAGCTATTGTTATGGTCTGCCTGGGTCGAGGTCTGAAAGGGGACAAATGTCAGGACAAAATGATCAGTAGTAGGATTTAGGGTACCCAACTTCTTCCTTGCAAGATGTCGGTCACTTAAAGTTCAGCTTTTTGAAAAGTTTAGCTTGATATTCCTAAAAGTTCTTAAATTCAGTTCTGCTTTGAGCTCAGGTGCTGTAGCTTCTCATTTTTGACTGATCTTTCAGTCTGTCTGTTTCATATTTGCAGCATGTACGGGTACGATTATTACTTTAAAAACTACCACAATGAGCTCAAGTACCCAATTTCACAGTTTGAAAAGTCTGCAAGTAGCTCCCTCAGCTTTGGCTTCATGTTTTAATGAATTACACCCCCTCTCCGACAGCATACCTTCCATCTATGTTCTTCCTCTGACCCGCTGTCCCTCCATCCATTCCATTACTTCTCTATTTTACCAGCCAGTTATTAAAGTAGATCTTATTAAAAGGCGGGAGAAAAAGCTAATCTATATTTGCATTCAGTCTATAGCAATTCATTAATATTATGACATTTACAGGGAGCTTGGCGGGGGCCCCGGCTGCCTGCTACCCTTTTCCCTCTCTGAAATGTTAATTTAAAAAGTTCTGTCTTTGTAATGGAATAAGAAATCCTCTCTTGCCCTATCAATTCTGGGTGTCTGGTGAGGAATACTAATTCATCTACGGTTCCAATTGAGATAGCATGTCACTCTGATGGAATAAGAAAATGCAGAATTGGTTTTAAAGTCCTTAATGCCACGAGTTGTGTGTATTTCTCTTTTCTGCTGCAGTTGGAAAAGCTGGTGTATACGCCTCCCCTTCCACATCTTGCAAAAATGTTTGTGTGTGTATTTGTGTACATGCATTCGTATGTATGTGTCTGTTTATGGTTATATTACAAGCTTTCAAATATCTATGTGTTGATTTCCAAGAAAATTGATCACATTAAATAGAATTAAAAAAGAAATTTATTTGAATTTGATTATTTCTTTGTCTTCCAGACTACTCACCATGTGTACGAGGCACTTTGGCAGTGTGGTGACACAGACTATACGGACATACAAGACAGACCAGTTCCCCCTGCTTCTTATAGTCATGGGCAAACGCACATCCAATGAAGTTCTAAATGTTATTCAAGGTAATTACGATTTTATTAATAATATTATTAACCCTGACATCTACAGATATATTTTTCTGTAATTAATGTAAAAAAAATATTAAATTACAAACTGTATGTTGTGATGGATGTTTTTTTATGTTCAGGCAATACGACAGTGGACGAGCTGATGATGAGGTTAATGGGAGCAATGGAGATCTTCACAGCACAACAACAAGAGGACATAAAAGATGAGGTAAGGTTTGGGTTCAGTCAGGATGCAAATCAGGCTCTGATTGTTAAACATGCAGATTATTTAAAATAAATGCTTAACTTTCTATTGGTGATTTCAATGGCAGGGAGAAGTAACGTTGACACGTTCCCGTGTTATACAGTATGACAACAGCACAGGAAACAGCCGTAAATGTTGTGGACAGAAATTAGCGCCCATCCCTGCTAATATCCCAACCAAAAACCCAAGTATGCATTCTTAGAACGACGCAGACCTCACACCGATTGTTTTTTAACAAGAAGTCAGGACTGTAATCAGTGTTGACATCCGTTGAAATGGTTACAGTTAAATTAGTAAAGTGCCAGACAAAATGACATGTACTTTTTCTGACCTTGGCTGCTCCATCAATTGCTGCTGTCAGTGTTGGTGTCCTCTCTGTGTTTGGGTCTTTGGGGTTTAACTCGCACTTTTAATCTCGTCTATTATCCTTGTATGTATTTCAGACAGGGTCCAACTGTCATTAGGGCCCTTTGAGTTCCGGTATCTTTTTTATTATTATGCATATTAGGTTGGAATAGGTTTTGTTTTGTACTTGTGGATACAAATAGGTGCAAATAAATGACTATTTCAAACCATAAACTAATAAAAATAACAACTACTAATTACTTTTTTCTTGTTTTTTACTCTTTTACATCCTGCTTAAGAGATAAATGGCAACATGCTGGGACAGATCAGACAGCATTGTTACACTGTGGCAAAGAATACCTCATTCCCCTTTAGTTCTAGATTGATGGGCCAACTACAGGGTTTTGAATAGGTACAGGGCTCAGACTCGTCTCCCATTCACGTCAGTGTGTAGGTACCACTGTGCTGCTCTGTGTCTGTTGACTACCTCTTTTACTCTAATAGAAAGTGAACAAACATTGAAGGATACACTCCATACAAGAAAGTAAGGAAACGTTGGAGGTAGTCTTTCATGTCATGGACAGTGACTTACATCTGACCTAACCTTCTTAACCACTTACGGATATGTTTACTCAGTGACATCAAACAAGCAAATGAACGACAGACTGTGTCCAAACACGTAGAGTAATCCTCCCTTTTTCTCTTTCACTTTAATAACTTATTGTCAGAGGTTCTGGAATTAGCAACAATACAGAATATATTCTTTGTAATTGTTTTTTGAATTATTTTTGGTCTGTGCCGTGTCAGCTCTGAAATCCTTTGTCATAGTCGCTCTTACTCCCACACTTTTCTCTCTTAACATTGTTGTGCCTCTTTTAGACTACTGTATCTATAGATGACAGATGTCACACCATATTAGGGTTTTAAAAGTCAGTCAACCAAACAGCCTCTCTAACAATGCTAATGTGAGTAGTCCTAGCATTTCAGTTATGGGAACTATGGTTAAGGAATGAATCTTGTCACACACACACCCTGAGGGTTAGACTTCCTCAGGTGGGTTAGTGAGTTTCGAGTGACAGCTTTTCCCTTTGTGTTGTTATTATTGCCACAATGCTCTGGCTTCATTTTGGATTTGTCACTCTTTCCACACATCAAATAATCATTAACGACAAGAAGTGACAAGAAGTGGTATTCAGAGTATGTACATGTTTCAGATCAGTTCCAATGCAATACCTGAGTACAGATACCAAAAGGATACTTTTCTCACTACTTGATGAATTGATAAATAGAAGCAAATTTTTTGTTTAGACAACATTTGAGAGCTATATGTTAAATGCAAGCTGCCATACAAGAACTTTGCCAAGACTAAACTCTAAAATTGGCTTACTAAATAACTAAACAAGAATTTGAGCAGACTTTTGATGACTGCATCAAATAATGAAATGAAAATGATTGTACACTTTTCTTTTCTTGGAGGCTGATTTGTTTTTTTGTGCTTAGAAAGCAAAAGATAATTTTGTCTTTATCTTTCTTCTTCATACCATCTGCACAAAATAATTGTATTTTATTACCGCATTAGTATCACTTTTATAAGCATTGCAACAACTGGCTTGAGATCTGTCATAGAAATAAGAAATCAGATTTGCCGTGGCATAAGAGTGTAGTAAAGCTGTTCTGAAACGGTATTAAAGTGTGATAATTACCCAGGCGTGGCCTGCCAGAAGGAAATATTTTGTGAAAATGTCATAAGAAGACAGCGTAGAGAGTGTAAGTGATGTTGAAAGCATAATGTTTGAGTGTGATTATTTATGATTAGTACCAATAACCACATGACTTTAGTATATCCCGTATCTGACAGGATGTATCCCATCTCCAAAGTAAAGTCAACCTTGACACTGGACTAATCCCATCTTTACTATAACAGCTCTTAGGTGTTTGGTGAATTTCTCTCTCTCTCTAGCTCCCTTCCCTCTCTCTTTTTTCTATTTTTCTACTTTTCCCACCTCACCTTTCCAAAGACAAACTCAGACGCAAGCACAGACATCCACCCAACCTAGACATTCCTATCTGACAGTGACTTTTGTGTCTGTCTGGAAGTGGAGCAGCTGGACAGCCACATTGTGCCTTCAACCAACCTTACTGACTCGCCACTCATTCCTATGGTTGTCTGTGTTTTAGCTTAGTAGTTAGTAACCGACTGACGACTCACTGCAGGTTTTGTGGTCTGCATCTGTCAGCACTACGGGACATTTTCAGGTCAGACTATTTCACAAGCATTTTATGTGAAGAGCAGCCAAAAATAACCAATGTTTAGTTTTGGTCAAGGGGAACTAAACTTGATACCAAGCTCTTTTGGTATTGGAGGACACTGAAACACCCAGGGTAAACAAAATAATAATGTGCAAGGTCCACAGAGAGGATCAGAGCTGAGATTTAATTCTGGACCTTCTTGCTATGAAGTGAAAGTGACTTCTAACCATTAAAACAGGACTTTATTCAAACCAACCTGATGAGTAGCCAAGATATAGATGTCTTTCTTTTTTTCCTCCAAAGATAAGGTCTTTAAAATCACATTGAGTCTGAGCAGATACATAGTAGATTAACGTTTCATGTCATACCTCTCCCGCCCATTAGGTCATTCATAGCAGATGATGCATTTGAGAACACATTACAACAGTATAAAATGAGTATAAAACATGAGCTACTGTGCAACTTGTTTGCGTGACTCAGGGCCAGTCTACTGAAGGTAGCCACTTTTGATGCTTTTGTCCCTCTCTACCATTCTTTTACAGTTTCCTTTCAATGTTCATCTATTATGCGGGCCAAAAGCACAAATGTATCCTTTGCATTTTCCTGATTGAATACAACAATACACACTGTGCTTTTGCTTAGCCACTCTTTAGCTGCACAGTAGCCGTCTGATCATCACAATAAGCTTACTTTGCCATATCCGGGCTGGCACACAGCATGGGCCTTCAGAAAATACAAAACAAATGGCTGTGCACTGTTAACACAATGGACACTCGTATTTAGTCCCAGTCTTTATAAAACACTTTGTAGCCACAGCAGGTAGAAAGAGAAGGGCCGCCTGTCCCCTACCCTCTGTACAAACAGGAAGAGAGAGGCAGAGTGAATGAAAGAGAAAGGGATGGTGAAACTGAGATGAGGAAACATGAAAGAGGCTTGGGGTCTGGTAAATGACAGCCCGGTCACAATGAATTCCCCTCTGGTGCTACTCTTTCATACCTGGTGTTTGTACGTAACCACACTTGACATGCTGCATTTTCTTTAGCTTGGTTCTTTCTGGCTCCCACACCCGGCACATCAGCTTAGATGTTTTGTCCTTGTGTTTCCTTTTATTATGTTGTTAGTCAATGGCCCCCACTTTCGTTCTCTCTCTCTCTGTACCCAGGACGAGCGCGAGGCAAGAGAGACGGTGAAGAGAGAACAGGACGAGGCCTACCGTCTGTCTTTAGAGGCTGACCGTAAAAAGGTATTTTCAAAATAAAAGGAATTGTCTACTTAAATCAGTGCACTCTGAGTTATTTGTGGTGTACTAGACAGTACGTGTAATTTGTGAGTTTAACCAAAAAAGCATAACCACCGCTTTTTTTCTTAAACAGGCATTTATAATAAAGCTTTACTTAAACTACTAAACTATTTGCTGCTGTTGTTTTGAATGCTACAGAGCACAAAAAGCATATTAATGAAATACAGTGATCCTCGGGGTGAAACAGTTACTCAAATAATTGATTAGTCAATTGACAGAAAATTATTCTGCATTTATCTTGATTATTGATTGTTGATTGAACTGTTTAAGTCCTTTATCAAGTAAAACATCTCTCAGTTCAGCTTTAAAATTGGGAGTATTTGCTACTTGTCAGATGTTGTGTCATGTCATTAGCTTGTATTATAGATCTAGTGACTTGAGTGTCTAAAAGTCACCTCTAATAAAGGATCAGTAACAATTAGGAAACATAGTAACAATATTTAGCACTGCACATCACTCAGTATTTTGATTTTGATTCTGCTGTTCTTTCTTTTTCAGAGAGAAGCCCAAGAGAGAGAAGAGGCCGAGCAGGTTCGCTTGGAACAGATGAGAAAGGAGCAGGAGGAGGAGAAGGAGGTGAGAAGAACAACAACACACACATCATGCACACATTATGCAAATTACCTAAATTAATATTCCAACTTTATCAGTGCAAGGCTGAACGGCGATATGTTTTGCCAGAGCACAGTGATTATGCCATTGTGCTGTCATTTTTTTTTTATCTGTCTTGGTCTCACTTCACAATAATGAGTCAATTAGATTGTGGTTTTGGTGAAGCCTGCCAGTCAGTGAAGCGTGTGTTGTGTTGGATGAACAGGCATACAGCCATTTCAGAAGAGTGAAATATCCTAATTAACAGTGAGGCCCATCCCTGTTAATGTCACCTTACATACACACAGTTATTGTTCTATTTAACTGCTTTACATTGGTATAGCACACAGCGCACAGCCATATTGAAACCCAAACGAACAAAAGACTGAGGCAATTCATGTACACAGGCTTGTGCACACACAACCTAAGCAAACACACATATTCACTTGAAAACAATTATTGTATGTGTAGAGGGGGTACACACACACACAGACACAGGCAGACACACTGTCACGCATGCAGGAAAAACAATAATTGCCTGTGAGGATGGCACCAATGTTGTAATACAGTCTATAGTAATACAGTGTAGTCCTCGCTGATTGTTGTTTACTCAACAGCAGAGAGCCTGGGGGCACTGAGAGGTATTGGGTGACCCGGCTCGCTCAGGTGATTTGTCACTAAAGTTAAACAGACGACAACAAAAGTGGGCCGAGCCGGGCCTTCTTAATTATATCACTGTAGTCCACTAACCAAACTCTGTGTGCACATTTGTGTATTTTAAACAACAATAGCCACTACAGCCTTGTGTTTTCCTTCTTATATCCATTTTCTCTGGCAAAGCTCAATGGTTTCCATGGTGTCTCCTGTGCTAACATACTAGTGCTGCTTGTGCTACAGTGTAGATATTCATAAATACAAGAGCCAGCAACAGCTGCTGGACCCAGACAATGGCAACCTATGTTTCTTAAACCGATAAGACCTAAAATGGATGGATGTGTGTACGTCTAGTTCTGATGAGCTTAGGTCCACTGATACACTGACAGACAAACAGGTGAAAAGAAAATTGGGTATCCCTTTATTTGGATAGCCCCACTACAGATAGTTTATATAGTATTTGTAACACTACTGTGGTTGAGGGTTAGTTAGGTTTAGGCACAAACAACTTCTTGGTTAGGGTATGTTCATACACTGTCACATAAACATAGATAATCTGTTAAACATACACAGACAAAGCGAAACAGTTGAAATGTTACAAATACTCAGCTATCTGTAAGCGAACTATCCAAATAAAATGTTAGCGGTCAGTTGATCTTTGGATGGAAAAAGAATGCAAACATATTTTATTTAAAAAAATATATATATTCTATAGCATACATGGGAAACAACAAAAATGTAAAAACCAGTAATGTAATAAAAAAATGTGAGCGATAAAAGAATATATATTTCATAAAAAAAACATTTTTGTTTTATTGATTCATTGTTATACTATACAATTAGATCAATCAGATTACATACATTTTTTCATATTAAAAATTATAATCTTAAAGCTGAGAAGATGAAGAGCCTACCATGTGAGCCTTACCTTTGAACTCAGGATTTATTTCATTTTTGTTGTTGAGTCTTATGAGGCAGTAGCCTACTGTATATGGCAGAAACTGCAGACACAACAAAAACATCAGTTGCCACCAGAGAGCGGACAATGCTTGTGGGAATGCTTTCTCTGTGATTTTGTGCCTTTGTGCAAAGAACAGTGAGATGAAAGTAGGAGCTGGAGAATTGAGGGGCAGGGTGGTGCAGTGTGTATGTGTTTCATGTCCCTGTGTTGGTTGACTTTACTATTTACCTCCTTCAGGGGGTCTTAGCATACAGTTGGGTGGCTGTCAGGTGCACACCCATCATCTGTTTGCTTTCTGTGGTTAGCCGAACGGAGCTGGAGTGTCAGATAAATGGACGGATAGATGCTTCTGATTATTTGTGCGGAACAGCCTGGGCCCGAGGCTCGACCAGACGTGTGTCCTGTGGTTTCTTTAGGGACGCTACCTCTCACTTGTGTGGGTGTGTGTGTGTAAGTTTGTCCCCGGGGGCCCCTTTAACTCAGTCAGCATCAGCTCTTTTACCTGAGGGAGCTGATGGCGGAGCGGCACGCGTGCTACCCTGCCCACCCAACACCAGAAGCTGCTAATGAGCTACTGTTGTACACTCTTATGAAATATAATTGCATTATGGTGTGTAAATAAAGCCGGGGCGTGTTGTCACAGCATATGCTCCCCGGCTGGCCAAACAGGAACAACAAGCCGGGGGAGGAGGAGGTGAGGGGGGCAGGAGCAGAAAGAGGAGGAAGGCTCAAGGGAGCGGCTGAAGCGCGTTTTTTGGAGCGCTGGAGAGCTGATTAGCTTTGCTGAGGAAGATGACAGTTAGTTGTTGTCTTTGTGGTAGATAAGCCACTTTGGATTTTTTGTCTATAAAATAGTTCTGAACTCTTACGAAACAAGACTTTAAACTATGTGTGGAAGACAATGAGATATTCAGCACGCACAATCTCAGTTTTCCCAAACAGACTGAGCAGCAGCAAGAAAGCATGAAGCACCAGGAATACACTTCCTGAATACACATTTTTAACGTACTGAAACGCTACTTGGCAACCTTCTGAGCTACACCATGCTTTAGGGAACAGGGTGAGACACAGGGCAACTAATTCAATAACATTCTCAGGACAAGAAGTTCTTTTAATTAATGTCAGTGCTGCAATCCACTTCTTGGCTTGTTTTTCATACTTGTTTGGATAGTGTGTCGTCATCTTCATAACTGCTAGTGTTACTGTTGAATCTCTGGTTTAAATTATCTATAAACAGAGAAATGTGGCTTTTTTTTTATAGTTACACTTTATTGAATCTCAGATTTTTTCTTTTGTATTTCAGAGGACTTTGCATAAGCTTCCTGGCTTCCTTCCTCTCCTACATTTATCCATTTAGATGTATCATTGTGTGTGTTAATATGTGCAAACAAATAAAAAAAGCTGAATTAGAAAATGTTTTAATCAGGAAAACATTTGTCCTCCTTTTAATTATTTTCTAGCTCATTTTGTTTATTTTAGTTTATCACTGAATTGATCTAATTAATATTGTTTTTATTTTGACTACCTGTCACAGATTGCTTGTGCTGACTAAATATATAGAGACCTTGTAATGTTAATAGGCTTGAAAAAAAGAATTGCAGCAACAGTAATGACAGCTGCACCCCAACAGCACCTGTATGTAAACATCTCTGCCTTCACACGACACTGTGAATCAATACTATATCTAGAAAAGCTGTTTATGCTGTACATTAGTTCTTAACATCTTACATTTTCCTTGAATCATCTTCAAGTATTAGTATGTAATAGAGAATGCAGCAATTTGTGAAGTGAGGAAAAACTGTCCAGTGTGATCACAAAAGAATTTATGATTCCTCTGTTGCATCTGTCCTCAACTAACAAGGAAGTCCACCTTTGAACAGCTAGACCATTTGCATAATAGAGATATGAATCTCAATGTGCTGTACTGACTAAAATACTGGATTCTCTCCCCCCCCTTCTTGCAGGCAATCCGTTTGTCATTGGAGCAGGCCCTACCGCCAGAGCCAGAAGAGGATTCAGCCGAGCCAATCAGCAAACTGCGAATCCGCACACCAAGTGGCGAGTTTCTGGAGAGGCGTTTCCTGGGCAGCTGTAAGCTCCAGGTCCTCTTCGACTTTGTGGCCTCCAAGGGATACCCCTTTGAAGAATTCAAGCTCCTCACCACCTTCCCTCGTAGAAATGTAAGTGGTGTATATCTTACTCTACTACAAAGAAAGCAAGCACACGTTTACAAAATAATTAACCCCTTTTGCTTAAACATATACACCGATCAGCCATATCATTATGAGCACTGACAGGTGAAGTGAATAACACTGATTATCTCGTTATCA